GGAACATATATTTGAATAATAGTAGGGTTAATGGGTCTTCCATTTATATATATGGATATTATCCAATCACTCCCAACACTCAATTATCAATTAAAACAACCTACCTTCCTGAATCCATCTGCTTCACAGAGGAGGCTTTAAACTGTAGCCTTTTAAGCAGGACCCAACCAACATTTAAATACAAAGGTTTGCCTACTGGGCCCTTAGCCCTCACCTGATTGTTAACTAAATAAAAAAAGGACCAAATAGTTTACACCTGACTGTCAAACAAAACAACCTACCTTCCAGAATCCAACTTTTACTTATTGGAGGCTCCATACTGGAGACCCTGTCTTGATTACTACAGCTTTATAGGAAATCTCAAAATCAGGTTACCATAAATCCTCCAACTCTGCTCCTTTTTAAAATGTCTTTGACTATTCCGGGACTTTTGCCCATAGCTATGAATCTTATGACTATCTTGTCAATTTTTAAAGCATCCCTGGTGGCAAAGTGCACAAAGACTACTAACCTGAAGGTCAGCAGTCTGAATACACACACACACACACACACACACACACACACACACACACACGCACGCACGCGTGCTCCATAGGAGAAGGATGGACAATTTCCTCCTATAAAGATTTACAGTCTTAGAAACCTACTGGAGGGTAGGTATGAATTGGAATTGACTCAGGGGCAGTAGATTTAGTTTGCCAATTTTTATTTTAAAAATTTTAAAAGTCTGCTGAGATTTTGATTGAAGATATATTGAATCTTGAGAGGGCTTATTTTTTTTTTTAAGAAATTAGATGGACTTGGATCTTATTTAGTGTGGTGGTGGTCGTGGTGTGTGATGTTAAATCATAACCGACCTATAGTTGACCCTCTGACAGATTTTCAGAAGCAGTTAATGTCACAGGAGTAGATTGCCCATCAGTCTCCCATGGAGTAGCTGGTGGCCTCAGACTGCATGCCTTGGGATTGCATCTCAGCTTCCTGCCACTTGGCCACCAGAACTCCCTATTTAGTGTTGTTGTTTGTTGTTAAGTGCCATTGAGTTGCTTGTGACTCCGTAGCAGCCCTGTGTACAATAGCCCTGAGACCTGCTCTATCCTGTGCCAACATTGTTGTCTCTGACACACCTACTCCCATTATCCTAGTCACTGAATCAATCCATCTCATTGAGGGTCCTCCTCTCTTGTGCTGTCCCTCTACCCTTCCAAGCATGATGTCCTTCTCCAAGGACTGGTCCCTCCTTGTAATGTGCCCAAAGTATGTCAGGTAAAGCCTCAGAATCCTTGCTTCCAAGGAGCAGCCTGGCTTCACCCTCTCCAGAACGGAGCTGTTTGTGCTCCTGGTGGTCCACGGTATGTTCAGTACTCTTCTCCAGCACCACAGGTCAAAGACATCGATTCTCTTTCTATCATCCCTAGTCATTGTCCAGCTTTCTGACGCATAGCAGGTAATTAAGAAGGCCTTAGCCTGGATCAGGCGCACCTTAACCTCCAGGCTGACATCTTTGTTCTTCAGTACTCTGGAGAGGTTCCTGACAGCCGACTTTCACAATGCAATTAGGCTCCTGATTTCCTGGCTACTGGTACCAAGAGTGTTGATTGTGAAGCCAATCAAACTGAAGCTGTTAACAATCTCAATCTCTTTTCCATTTATTATGATTCTGCTAATTGGCTCATTGGTGAGAACCTTTGTTTTCTTGGTGTTGAGCCTCAATCCTTGATCTTCTGCAGCAGGTGCTTCAGGTCCTCCTTAGTTTCAGCAAGCCGGCTTGTGTCATCTGCATAACACAAGCTGTTGATGAGTCTTCCTCCAATCCTGATGACACCCTCCTCCTCATAGAGCCCAGCCTCCCGATGATCTGTTCTGCATATAGATTGAAAAGATATGGAGATAAGTCACATCCCTGGCCTGTCCCTGTACATCATACCTGATTTTGAACCACACAGTTTCCTTGCTCTGTTCTGACAGCTGCCTCCTGGTCCAAGTATATGTTAAGCATAAGCACAATCATATGTCTGGGATTTCCATTCTCCTCAGAGTCAGCCCATTTGTTGTGATCCACACAGTCAAATGCCTTTGCATAGTCGATGAACCACAGATATTTCTCTGGTACTCTCTGCTTTGAAATATTCCTCTAAAGTATATATGGCCGTATGTCACAGGTTTCCAACTCAAATTACAGGGTCAGGAATGGAGAGCAAATGAAGGAAGAGGACCAGGAGTGAGATGACAGCTGGCAGCTGGTTCTGGGAACTCTGGAGGGTGGCCCATGGGGAGTTGCACTGCGCATCCAAAGGCAGTGCCTCTTTTGCACCCGCAGCTCTTCAGAAGAATGCTGGGCAGTCTCCTCCTGTGGGGTTTATAGCTTCCGAAAACCCTTTGAGGGCCAGCTATGAGTTAGCTCTGACTGGATGCTGATGAGTTTTGAGTGTAGTTCTGGATAGTATTTGGGGAGTAATAGGGTACAGTAAGAACTTGGGCAAACAGGAGAGCCTGTTTAAGTAGCCACTTCTTAGCTCTGTCCATTTTGCCATAAAAAACCGCAAAACACAAACAAACAAAAAAAAGGATTCAGTGTTGCCTATTTTAATTAAGAGAAGCTGGAGGTTTAGACTTATGTGGACTCTCTCAATCTTAAAACTAGAATATAAAACTGAGCAAGCCAACATCCTGAGTGTCGGACATAATATTCCAGCTTAGCTGTGACCTGTGTACGGCCAGTTTGTGACCTCTCCTTTTGGTTAGTCTTTGGTGCTCGTTTTCATCACCTGTAAACTTGAAGGTATTAAAGACAGTCTGTCAGAGTTCTGTCTAGCCAGTCATTCTAAAGTTCAGAAGAGGAGAAAAGAAACATAACCTAAGGGTCTGAGAAGTCACTGAGAATATCAGCAGTAATGACACCATCCACTTCCTAAACAGCATGCCTCCAGAAACTCTATGAACTTTGATAAATATCGTTAGTTATAGAGGGACTTCAGGCCTTTTGTCCATAGGGTCACTATGAGTCGTGCTCGACTCAAAGGTAATCAACAGCAACAATAACACCGACACCATAAGAGTATGAATAGAAGACTTTCCATCAACATGACCATTGTTTTTGTCTAGAGAGCTTAAAGAATAAAGAATCAAGTGCTTCTGCAATTTAAAATATTAAAGATTAAAATGAAGAGAAATTATTCCTCTCATGAATGGAAAAGTTCCTTCCCTTATTTGACTTTCAGATCTAGGTTTTGATTAATAGCTTATAACTGTATCCCGACTACTTATGCTTGAGAAGTTAAACACTGTTGGCTTAGGAAAATTAAAGTAGCAAAAAGATTTGTAATACCTTTAAGGTTTCCAAACAAATACAAGTCCTTATCTTAAGGAAATGAATATTGAAATATGAAATAATAGGATGCCTGAGATTTCATTGAGCAGAGTGCTGGGGATAGCAAAAGAGGTTAAAGCTGTTTTTTAGCACACGTTGTTAATTGTTGACGCTGGTTGCTGATGGGTAAATGGGCTTTTATTATACAACTCTATGTTTCGTATGTATTTGAACATTTTAATAACAAAAGGTAAATACAAAACCAGAGAGCTTCATAGGCTCAACAATGCTGTTGTGCAACCAAACCTCGTTTGTGTCTGAGCTTGTAGTGGTGTGATTATTGAACAGGGAACAACAGGAAAGAGCATGGTGGAATAGGAGTGTGGGCTCTGAGTCAAATAGCTGAGGCTTGGGCTCCTGCCTGGCTTTGGCCGAGCTAATGAACTAGGGCTGTAGAAGCAGAATAACGCAGGCTCCCATGCACGATTGTGGAAGGGTTAGGAGAGAATTGTGCAGAGTATCCTAGGACAGCCCTTGGCCCAGTGTTGGGAGCTCAAGTCTGGGAGAGGTGGGTTTGGTTTTGGGTTTTTTGGGGGGAATTATTTTTCTTTTAGTATTATTAGACAATGACAGGCAGAGTCACAAAAGGATAACAGTGCGCCGTAGGGCACCTATCGATAGCTTCCTTCTTCCCTGTGTGAATTCTAGGTGCCAAGGGTTATATAACCACAAAATCAATTTATTATTTTAGAAAAGTACTCTTAAAAACTAGGTCAGATTGCTTTGGAGTTTATATGTAGGCAGTTCACTGTGGGGTTTTTTAAAATTAATTTAAAAAAAAATTTATTAGTTTTAATGAACATTTACAGAGATTTTGGGTTTTCATTCATTCATTGTTGCACTGAGTTCATTGTGTTTTAAAAAATGAAGGGATGAAAGAATTACAGAAGAGAGGCATGCCAAAACAGTGGGATACCATTTTATATCTGTTAAATTGGCTTCCTTCCTTACTCCAGTTAATGAGAGTATTCAATATTAGGTTTTTTGGTGAAACTTTTCTCATATAAAAACTGGTAAACCCATTAGGAAAGCATTTTGGCATTGTATATGAAGAGCTATCCAGAGCCCATAGCCAGAGATGTAGTCATTGATTAGTCTTTGCAATGTGTTCTAAGGAAATAATTTAGAAGACTTAGTAGCTGTTTAGAAATTGTTGTGTAAAAAAAAAGTAATTGTTGTGTAATAACAGAAAAGGCTTGCGATGTAAGCATGCAGGATTATATTTGTTATGATCATGATTATGCAAGCGTTACACATAAATGTAAATGAAGAAAGGAAAAGAGTTAATGTGTTAGAGTCAGAGTTAGTATCTTAGTTTTTCTTTAATTGATTCTTTCTGTTAAAGTTGTGCCTATTTGCTTACACATCCTTATGCAAGACTGCCCCTCTATCATGACGTGGGATATGTATGTGGAATACAAGTCAATTCTTTCAAAAAATAGTGTTAGCAAAAAAACCAGAAAGCACCGGAAACCTGAAGATTGTGATCATTGAAATGTAGAAAAGAAATTGAAACCAGGGCTTTCGTTCTTAGACTGTTTTAGTACAAAGTACTTTGATGCTTCTTTCAGACCTTTCCTGTCACCTGTAAAAGGTCTTGAGCTGGTTTTCCCTCCATTTCCATCTTCAGGTCCAGTTTCAGAAGCTTCAGCAGTTGCGCCTTACCCAGTATCATGGAGGATCCTTGCCAAACGTGAGCCAGCTGCGTAGCAGTGCCTCGGCATTTCAGGTACTCCATACAGAGGCTTTCTGCAGGCTGGAGGGAGTCTGCGCAGATGGGACTGCACAGCACACAGACTGACTTCTGTGGATCAGTTCTTAGATTCATTGTTGCTAAGAGGGTCTTCTGGTTGAGTCCGTCTGTATGCTTGGATAGTTTCTGTGGCATAAGATAATGTTATTTTCACAAAAAATCTTGGGGAGAAATACAATGTGAACCACTGATGGTCATGTTTGGAAAGGTGGAGGGTCGATGAAAGAGAGGAAGACCCCTTCTAAGGAGGTGGCCAGACACAGGGACTGCAGCAGTGGGCTTCAAGATAGAGAGGAGGACACAGGATCTCAAATCTGTTGTTCACATGTCACTATAAGTTGTACTCAGCATTAACAAAGTAAAAAGCAATGGATTAAATTAGTTTTAGTAATAAATTTTATTTAACCCAATATATCTAAAATGTTGTATCAACTTGAAATCAATGGTAAAATTGGTGAGAAATTTCATCTTTTCCTTCTCTGTCTCCCATTTTTTTTAAACTAAGTCTTTGAAATACAAGATGTAGTTTAGCCCTTGAAATACAAGGTATAATTTATAAAGTATATCTCAATTCAGGCTAGCCACATTTCAGCTGGTCAGTGGCCTTTTGTGGCTAGTGGCCACCCCATTGGACAGCACAGGCCTAAGGTAGAGAAAAGGTCTACATTGCATTCAGATTAGTATAGTGCTATCGGGTGTTTTAATCATTCATCAGTGAAGAGCTTTGCTCAAAGCAATATGGACTTGGTGTCTCAGACAAGGGTATATGGTATTAATGTTCTGATCTGAATTAGATAGCCTCATCTCTGAAAAACTGGGGGTTAGAGAGAGAGAGAGATACTTGAAGATGAAACATTCAGATGCCTCCCCTCTTAAAAGGACTGTTTGGGTTTTGGTTTTTTTTCTTTTTTTGTGAAAACTGAATTCATTTGTTTGGCCATGTTACAAAAGAAGGATGTTACTTGTACTGGGGCTTCATTTGAGAGTGTTTGTGGTAGAGAAAGAATATCTCAGTTCCCGCCCACCCCAAATACTTAGCCCAAGGCCTGACCCTGACCTTACCTTGAGGAGGCCTAATAATGTCCTGATAAGGCCTGACCATAGCCTGGCAAGGTCATATTGGACCCTGGACCAATCACTTTCTGACAGGACCCCTGCCCCCAAATTCCTGAGCAAGCGACCCTAGACTTTAGAGCATGCGTTCTAAATCTCCTTCACAGCCAGTATAAAAGGAAACTGTCTATACCCACACACCATTCTGATCTCCTCCATCAGTGGTCACCTGGCTTCTTAGATAAGAGACCTTTTGATATGAGTTACAGCTTCATGTCTTCATCTTATCAGAGACCAGATATTCTCATTGCACAGAATGCGGACATGCACAGTAGATGGTAGAAAAGGGGTTGGGGAACCAGATGAAGCCATCTAGTTAGTATAGGTTGATAGAGCAGAGAAGTATAATTGAAGCAGACCACAAATGTTGTCTTTAAGGCTACTTTGCTTTTAAGATGTTAATTCTCTGTGTGCGTAATAAAACTTTGCTATCAGGTGAGTGAAACTCAGAACTGACAGCTTAGAGGTGTCAGAATCAGCTTAGTATTTAACAGCTATTGTTGCCAGGCAGCATGTGTGGTTGTTTTACACTAAGGCTCTATGATGCTCCCTCCTATTCCCTGCTTCCAGATTTGGTAAAGCTTGTCCTCTTTAGGGAAAAGAGCTCTTATGGAACTCTGGTGGCCTAATGTTAAGATGTGCTGCAATCTCAAAGGCACGTAGTGTGAGGCCACCAGCTGCTCTGCAGGAGAAGGAGGGGCAGTCTCCTCCCTTGTGATTAACTGCCTCTGAAAACCCACTGGAGGGTCAACTGTGGGTCCGTTCTGATTCTACAGTACACAACAACAACAACAACAGCATTGTTGCTGGGCAGCATACATGTTGGTTTTATACTAAACACTATGATACTCCCTCCTGTTCCCTGCTTCCAGATTGTCCTCTTGGCCATTTGTTTTTTACTAAAATCTGTCATTGTGGAATGGGATGAAATGGCAATCCTTGCTCTTTCTAGGGTATTTTTTTTTGAGAGATAGTTGGGGTAACGGTATCTTAGTTGTCTAGAGCTACTGCAACAGAAATGCTACAAGTGAATAGTTTTAATAAGCAAAATTAATTTTCTTGACATTTGTTTTTATGTATGGTTGAGTTGGCTTTCAGCAGGTTTTCAGAGACAGTGAATCACAAGGGAGATTGCCCATCCTTCTCCCATGAAGCAGCTGGTGGATTTGAACCCTATACCTTTGGCAGTGCAGCCCTTTACTACTAAGCCACTAGCACTCCTAAAGGCAAGAAGGCCTTCTCTTTCTGTTCGCTCTGAGTGAAGGCCATTGCCTCAGCTGCTGCTTCCTTGGTTTCCAGGCGTCTTGGCATCTGTCTTATCCCATCTCTCTCTGCTTGCTTGTTTAGCCTTTTTAGATCTCAAAAGAGATTGGTTTGTGGCTTTGTCAGAACATGCTATTAGGAATCTATATTCCACAATTGAAAGAATAGCTGATTGAAATGACTGCTGATATTTTGACGCGGCAACTAATCTGCTTTTAAGAAGGCTACTCAAGTATCTTGTTGACCCTTATTCTGTCAGTGGACTCCAGCCCCCTCTGTCCTAAGAGGATCACTGAAGACTGGGTACAGTTGAAAGGCCTGGTGAGGAAATTAGATGGTGCCTTGTTAGTTGGAGTCTTCAAGGCTTGATGTGAAAAAAAACAAAAACCCAAACCCAGTCACTTAAGGGAACTGTTGACATGGCCATGCAGAAGACAGCACATCAATCCAATTGTGATTTAAAAAAAATTAAAATAAAAGTCTGTTATCATGAGGAGGGTAATGGACAATCTAAAATCAGAGGCCCTTGGCTTGGATATGTTGTCATTTGGTCCCATAGAGTCGACTATAATGTGCAAGTCTGGAAGCAACTGCTCTGAACCTTGCTCTGTTTGCTTCGTCCTTCAAACTCTGATAGGCTATTGAGGGTCTTCCTCTCTTTCACAAACCCTCTACCTTTTCCAGCAAAATGTCTTGTCTTCCCTCCCCCTCCTCCCAGAATGTCTTTCCCAAGGACTGGCCCCTCTTAAGAACATGCCCAAAGTATATTAATTTCACCATCCTTGCCTCCAAGCACCAGGGTGGTTGCTCTTTCTTAAGACATCTGTTTGTTCCTTTGGCAGTCCCTAGAATCTTCAGTTCTCTTCTCCAACACCACAGCTCAAAGTCATCAGTCTTCTACTATCCTTATCTGATGTCCACATTTCACATGTGCAGGAAGCAATTGAAAATACCATGGCTTGGATCAGGCATGATTTGGTTGTGAAACAGACATCATTGCTCTTTAGCACTTTGGTTTGTGTGTAAACAGGGCAGTCTAAAGGTAGAGCCTTCACTCAATTTTGAGATCTTGACATGAGTCTGGATTACATGCCGGATTTTTAACCACTGCCTTTGCAAGTGGAAGTCGCTTCAGCAGTGACGATTGGCCTGGCTGTATACTCAAGGACATTCTTTTTCTCCAAGGCCTGGCCAGTGCAGGATATGTAATCTAGTCCCAAAGAATTTTTATTTTTTTCATTGCAGACAACTGGATGCAAAATAAGTCTTGAGACAACATTTTCTAAATCTTTACGGTGGACTTTCAGAAACAAACATGAATGAGAGCCATAATATTTGTCTGCTGTCCTGAGACCTGCCATAAACCAAATGACATGTACCTTTAATCAATTATATGATCCCACTTAGGTGTTAGGGGCGTACTGCTGCCAAACCCCCCCCCCCATATCCTCTTGTTGATCTTTCAGCCAGTTATAAATTTTGTAATTTAGATCCTGATCCAGCGATATCAGAATGTATCCTGTTTTGTGGTCTGGCAGAGCACCGGCTTTCACTCTGTGACAATGGATATTTCCGGTCTAGACTTTCTCTGTCTCTCAGTAAACTTTTTTGCTTCTTTTTTACTTTTAAATAAAATTTTTAATGTAAATTGTGATTTTAACAAAAGTTTACAGAAAAGTTAGATTTTCATTCATTCATTGTTGCATATATTACCCCCTTCCCCTTTTATCCTTCCTCCTTTCCCAGTTCATTTTTTAAAATATTCATTTATTATTGTGCAATTACCTCCCTCACTTCCCCTAGTACTCTTTGCAATGTCCCTCTTATTCTGCTTCTAATACAAAGCAAAACCAAGAAAGAGATTGACACAAAATAAAACCCACACTTATTATCCATGATTAATATAGCAAAGAAAACTCATTTGGAAATGGGATTCTGCCTACCCACAGGCATGCTGTTGCTGTTAGGTGCTGTTATCAACAGTGGTTCTGAACCCTGCCCTGTCCTGCATGTTCTCATCGTCTCTGATATACAAGCCCATTATTACAGTCACTGTGTCGACCCATCTTGTTGGTGGTCTTCCTATGTTTCAGTGGCCTTCCACCTTTCCAGGTCTTTTTCCAACGACTGGCCCCTCCTTACAACATGCCCAGTGTATGAGATGAAGCTTCATAGGCAGAGAGGTTAGGATTTATAAGACATATTTTGGGGGAAAGTAGAGCATAATTCAATCCTCAGCAGGGGATTCTTTTTACAATGATTATTTTACTTTGGAAGAATAATAAATTTGCACAAAAGTCGGAAGGAAGTATAGTTAAAATTTTTAAAAAAATTTTATTCTTTGATTTCTTTGGGAATAAATTGCTTTGATTTCTTTGGGAATAAATTGCTGGCTTGATGGCCTGTCATTCCAAAATATTTCACTGTGTACTTCCTATGTACAAAGAACATTGTCCTACATTACCAAAAATACTGTCAGCAAAATCAGGAAATGAACCGTGATCTATTACTATTATCTAATCTTGAGACGCCATCTAAGTTTCACCAATTGTCCCAGAACTATCCTCCATTGCAAAAGCTTTCAGCGTGGAATCACATTT